GGGGGGGGGGGGGGGGGGGGGCACGAGAGAGGACGGAGCCCCTCTTCCCTGCATGTCCTTATCCAGCCGGCTTTCTTCCCACTGACTGCAAAGATTAGATTTTCAACAAAGCATCCCCTTCGACTACTGTTATGGTACAGCATCTACAAACGGGCAATCTCTCTTTGATTTACTGCACACCAATACTTCATAAGACCAGGCGAGGTTCCGATTTTTTTGTTTTGTTTCGATACTTTTTACGGCCGTCTCTCTAGGGATTTCAGGCCGAGGAAGGAAACGATGGTGCTTGTGCTTGTTTTGAGCACGACAGTAGGGGCGGAGCGGGGAGGTACGCAGATAGAGGGGCGCCCTTGGACTAAGAACAATGGACTTGAGCCTCTACTGGCATTTCTCCTAGGCGGGGAAGGCCTGGACCAAGCGAGACCTCGCGTGATCGCCTTCTAGCTAACGTCGGCACGTAAGCACCCAAAGGGTTAAACAATCGCAACTACGTGAACAGGATGCCAGTCGCCCGCACGGAGGGCAAAGTTGCTGGTATCCCCAACAACACGCTGCTTGTTTTGGGTTTGAGTGTTTCGTCACATGTACCGAATACAACATGACACAAGATAACACACCCCCTGGACAGATTTTAAAAAGCTCAAATACGCCACGACGAAGATTCATAAACGAAACGATACATTTTCGGGAAGCTCTCTCGATGAGACGACTCCAACGCCGCCGTTTTCGGCGCTGTGACTCTTTCTGCTGTTGAGAAATCGAGCTTCGAAAATTGGTCCAGGGGCTGTGTTATCTTGTGTCATACACGGTACACACAAGCACCTTTCGGGGCATATTTCGACGTACAGTATAAGCCGGCCTCACACAGGGGAAGGAAATCACAGGAACTCCCTGCCATTGTTCCACCTTCCCCTTGCGGTGCTTACATTCCATTTTAAACTGATTGAAAAACAATGGAGGCATGTATGTACCCCGCAACATAAAAATCGTCAAGCGCAGAGAATGGGTGCAGAGAGAACGAGCAACAAAACACCAAAAACGAACACGACCGCAATATATGCACCGGTGCTTCTTCTTGTCATTGTCCCGCCTTCCGTTTTCAACGCATGAACAAAATAGTCCTGTGAAAGCTTCCAAAAAAACGTTTTCACCAAGGGCAGAGGTCAACAGGGCTGCGTCTCGGGGCAGCCATAATAGTGGCGTGACACGGTCGCTGGCTGTGGATTCAAATTTGTTGGTGTGTGAAGTATGGTTCTGCAGCTCTGTTCCTTCTGCCACTAATAGCAGATTTCCGGGCGGGGCTGTTGAGCACGAAAAACGACAACGAAAAGACGACGGCATTATTATTGTTTTTGTCTTGTCTTCACAATAAACACCGTTCCGATCTCTCTACCCAATACCTCCATCTGTTCGTACTGATCTAACACTTGACGCGGTCGATTAAAAAAATAAATACTCACACAGAAAGACTGTTTACTCGTTCGAGATATACCCAAAGTTGACGTGGTCGATTCCCGTCATCACAGCCTAACTTACCCGAAAAAAGGTAATACTCAAATACACACGAAAATTAACACACCTGTAGGAGTAAGCTCTGCAGCCTGCCCTTGACCTTGTCGTGCCGCGCAACCGTGTCCCTGAACACCACCAGACCCATCTCGTAGACGGGCATCTTCTTGTTGAAGCTCACGTACGTACGGTCCATGTACATCAAGATGTCGCGGACCATCTGCATCGTTACCTGGTTGATGGTTGATGGCACCATGGGATCGCATCATGCAAGAGCTAGGTACAGAGGCTTTGCGTGCGGTTTCCCATCCCTTCCATTCCATCTTGCACCTACTTCCATTTTGCTCATTTCCATTTCAACTCAGTATCTGGTTCCTGCAGCAGTATGGTGTCATCAATTGCGCAAATTCAAACCCACATTCCTACGAATATGGTCTACCATAAAGTTCCATTTCGCACACCTGGTGGTCTCCCCACTGCTGGCTGAGGTCGTGAAGCAACCGGTCATCCGTCGCCGTGGCTATGATTTCCCCCACCTCGTCGAGGTGCTGACAGGGACAGAAGCACCACGTGCAGAAGGAACAATTAAAACATGCAGGGTCGGCGGGAACACAAAAAAAAACGAAAACAGCAAGAGAGAGATGACGTGGTGTGGCACAGGTTAGTTTTCAGTGCGAACACAAGCTAACACACGGGGCAAAAAAAGCGCCCGTCCACAGCACCAATGCCTCCACGACTCATCATACGCTATAGAGATAAGCTGACAGACAGCAACAACGTGAAGGCTAACGTTGAGAACACGAGCTCAATCCCGGCCCGCACAAGACCTTTCCATTTCTTGCCCCCCCCCAGCAGCTGGAAAGGCAAGCATCCGTGTGGCCTACCATCCTTTGCGTCAATCATGAAAACGAAATGATTGGCGAGCTGCCTCGATTTCCGGAGATTTCTCATGCCAACTGCCTCAACGTACACTGTAGTCTTTCAATACCCACAAGCTAAAGCCCACTATCCACAAGCGAGCCTCCAAGTTGGCTTGAAAACACGTACCACCACCAACGGCAACACGTGCATCACCACCAACTACAAAACCGCATGCACGGCAGCTATTTAGCACAACAAAAAAACAACCCACGGAAGATTGACTCTGCATCACTGCTTTCACGGACTGACTGCTTTTTCAATACTTGTACGCAGGTAAAAACACAGCTGGGGACTAGACAACAACAAGCACCTCACCAACACCAACTACACAACCGCATGCAAGGGCAGCAAACAAACAAACAAACAAACAAACAAACAAACAGACCGACGAAAAACTGACTCTGCATCACCGCCTGCACGGACCGCTTTCCCCCCAACACGCCAAGCGAAACCACAACCCTGGGGCTTTGAAAACAACCACCAACAACAATTTTATAACCGCATACAATACACAAGCAGCAAACAAAAAGCAGACTCCCACGGAAAGATTGAACTCTGTCTCACCGCCTGCACGGACTCCCGAACGCCGGCGTACAGCAAGTCCCCGTGCTTGTGGAGCACCAGGTTGTAGGCGTTGCGGTAGAGCTCCTCGAAGCTCAAGGACGACGCGTTCTTGTTGTGGATCTCTCCGATGGCCGTGCTGCGAAAACAAGAAGGAAATTTAAACAAAATAGCACCGCACGAAAAACGGCCCGAATATGAGAGGGACAAAAAATCTAAAGGAGGACAGAATCGTCTTCTCTTGAAGGGTTTCCTGCGAGAGGATAAGGCGATTTCTTTCTCATCGTCGGCACCTGTTAGACTTGTTACCATGCCTCCAAAGAGTCGACAAAGCGAAAAACGCGTTGTGGCACGTCGGGTGGACTACTTTGTTGTTTCGGGCTACAGGCAGCTTCGGTCGTCTAAGCAATGCAGACGAGGACGTAAGGAACAAATACAGACAACCGCTGCCATGAGACACACTCATAAACACACACACACGGAGAGAGAGAGAGAGAGAGAGAGAGAGAGAGAGAGAGAGAGAGAGAGAGAGAGAGAGAGAGACTCGAAGAGGGCCATACTGTCTGTGGTGAACGCTTCAGAAACAAAGGCGGTCGTGAGACACGGAAACGGCGACGAAGCCATCTTCCAGGATCCATCTCTGCGACGCACGCCCCAACCTCAGGCGAAGGAGACAGCAGAGCAGTCGACACGCAGGGGCGACTACAGCTTGGGACATAAGAGTATGCCAGATGACCCCCCCCCCGCCGCGCCCCCCCCCTCCCACCCCCGACGCTACATCCACATTGGCGGAAGAAGATACGTGTACCGGCAAATGCCAGGATCATTTCACAATCACGGCAAAAATACATTTGAGCGTTTGGAGAATTTCGCTTTTCTGGGTCCAGTTCATACTTGGGTTCCAATTTCTAGAAAGGTGTACAGTACACGTTGGGGGAGTTAGTCTGTGACCACGGAAGAGGTACGCGTCCGTTGGACCGGTACGGACATTAGAAGGTACTGAGGCGAGACCGGAACGGTTTCTCAACGTGAAGACAACAACAACGACGAGTACCCAAGCGTGATAGGGAGCGTGGTGTCCAATATACTTGAACCAGGTGACCAACACCGAACAGGTTGACAAACAAAAAGAAACAACGGGGTGCATTCATGCCCTCGCTCTCAAAACCCAGGCTTCTGATGCCCCTCCCGCGTGCGCGCAGTCTACGAGATAAAACGCGGTGCAAGTTTGTCACCCAGAAAAGCTTCAAATGGCCGCGCATCGTGTTCTCGCCGACCGACCCCTTGTTCGACGAACAGCTTTCCTCGTTCAACTGTCAGCCAGGATCCCCTACACATTCGCTCATTCGCTAGTCGATGCCTACGCTGTCGTCGTGGTAGTTGTGTCGGCAGTTCAATCAGTATTCTAGAGGTATCAACGCATGTGTCCAGCACGAAAAGCCACGAGCAAAAAAAAAACAAAACAAAAAAAGGTATTCGGTCATGACGCACACCTCAAAAGGTCCCAGATGACGAGCGCCGCCCTCTCGTCCATGTGGTTCCGCGGCTTGGGCGGCTTGATAACAAACTTGCCCTTCGACTGAGACATAACTGCGGTCGCTGTGCTGCTAGCCCGCTCTCCCGTGCCCCAAAATCTCCCGCTGTCGCTCCGCCGCCCGCCTGGTGGTGGCCGCCCTCCTCTCCTCCCTGTTAACCCCACCTCACGCTGCTACCGCTGCCTGCCTGCTGCTGCTGCTGCTGAGCGGCTCTGCACTGCTAAGTCCTCCCGGGAACGGAACGAAAAATAACAGCACCCGGGCGATTTGGCAGAGAGAGGGCCCCAACAAGCTGCGCCCACCCGCGGGGGATGCTCCCTTTCGTGCCCCCGCTCCTATCCCTGTCTCCCAGCAGGTCTCTTCTTCTGCCCCCCTCCTACTGCTGTCGGATGTCGGTGTATCCCGCAACAAGCACGAGGAGGGCGGGGGGGGGGTCGCAGGCAGCGGGGAATGGTGGTCGCTGAGTTGATTGGGTTTCGTATCTTGCAGAACCTGCTATGTTTGCACAAACGGGGGGTAGGTGTGTGTATCGCGTACGCTGCTCTGCTCCCCTCAAGAAGGCCACTACGGGGTTCCGGTACATCCGGTACGATAAAAGAAAAAAAAAATGGCATGCGGATGTGGGGTCTACTTGACCACACGATACTCTTGCAACGTTCACCGACCGATTAGCACCGTTCTCGAGACCGTTCTCAAGAACCCGTCAATCGAGGACGGCATCAACCGACAAACCGCCGCTCGTGCTCTTGTACGCAGTACAGAATGAAACCCCCTCCCACCTGCTTCTGTTCCGACCTTGAAAAGATTGACATGACATCAAAGAGGTACTACCCATTCCACTCAATACCACGTTCGGTGCTTGCCGAGTTCTGGTCCGGATAGTTGCGGTTCAGGTATGACTCATTCGCGCTTCATCTTAGCACGGAGCAGCAAGAGGACCGAAGGAGGTGTCGACATCACGGTAATTTTCTGTGGACGCCGAATTTTTTATTTTGTCGACGTTAGTGCTTGCTTTGCACGCATCACCTGGCGGTTGGATGCTCAATCTATAGAGACAAGTCAGCTGCTGGCGAGCGCCCTAGGTAGCCCCGGTAGACAGAGCAGAGTACGCGCGGACCCGCAGCAGCAACACCACTGCCTTGTAGTGTGCGGGGAGCACTCTCTACACACAACAGCTGTAGGGGCGTTGGGTGAGCTCGCGAGAGCTCATTGGTGCGTGTGTTCTGTCAGAGAGAGAGAGAGGGATAGAGAGAAGGAGCTAGCATGCTTGCGGGCTTGCTCGGCAGACGAGAGGACCGTGCCGGACCACCAAGGAGGTCAGGCAGGCACATCACGCCCTGCTGCAACCGTACCATGGCCTGCCACTGCCTGCTTTCACCTGAGCGACACATTCTTGGGAGAGAGTAGGTGCGCGTACATATCGCTGAACACTCGTGTGTGAGAAACGTCAATATTCTAGTAGGGGATGAAGGAGGGGAGTTATCGTGTTTGTTTTTCTGCATGTTCCACGCATGCAAGAGGCTGCCTTACTGCTGTTGCACACCACACTTCGTGTTTAATGTGCCCCCCAGTTGTAGGGACATGCTGCAACGAAGAGGTAATCTGCTTAGACGTGCGGGCAAGAGGCCAGGTACACGTATACACAGCGTACGCCTACTCCCTCCCGCAATCTACGGCTCCATCCGCAAGTAGATAGATATGTGCAGGTGTTTCCGTCGAAAGAGGGAAAAAAGTAGGGTCGGGGGGTTGAGACGAATGCATGTACCCACACGCTAGGAAAGAGCCTGTTAGGCGAACACAGGAAGAGTACGATGACTGAACCAGGCGCAGTTTCCGGCACCCTTCGGAAAGGGTCCCCAAACAAGCGTTGGAGGTGAATACATGCACAGGCTCTCCTCCCCTTACATGTTCAAATATACGGACAGGACTACTTATACAATAGCGGCTGTTTGCCGCGTGTGGGCGGTACTTTCACTGCGGTTCCTGCTGTAGACTAATCGAGACACTTCGTTAGAGTTTTCTCCTCGTGCCGTTTGTGGATAACTTGAGCCAGGGCCTTGGAGCTACTTTGCTTCGTATGCTGAGGGACGCGGAGAGGCACAACGTGCGTATAGAGTGAAAAGAGCGGTGAAATTCATCCATGGGTCGAGAGCTCGTCTGCTTCGCAGCGTGCGCTATCCTCTCTCTGTTGACGAGAAGGCATTCAGTCATGAGTAGTAAGCGAAGGACGAGACAGGAAAAACATCTGCTGCAACCCCAAACTTCTCGTTGGTCCTTCAAGGCGGAGGAGCAGACACGAGGCGCACACAGAGTCGAGAGAGCCTGGTTCAAGTGGGCCAAGCAGCGCAGCAGTGCATGCCCAGCACGTACACGACCGCTACTACATACAGCAGTAACAGGTTTAGCCGTCTCTCTTGCTTGGCCCCATGCCTGTTTGTTGTGCCCAACCCCCCGAAGGAGCGGCACGTTTCTTTCCTCCCGCTCGCAGACCCAGAAGCAGAGTGCGAACAAGACGAACGGCGGTGAAAGAGGAAACCGCCCTACCACACACGGCTGTTCTCGCCATGCTCTTGGACTCTAGTGTCCAAAGTTCCGCGCTTTGCGCCCCAAGCCTCCCTTAGGTTCCTCCTTGAGGATGAGGGAGAGAGGAACGAAATAGAGGAGGCCGACCGACTCTCACATTTGGTCTATATGGGGATGTATCACACAGACAGAAAAAGCACCTGTAGATATTGCCTCGTCACTCACAGGAGTAAAATGATATACGCTGATGATGGTGTTCACACGTCCAGGTTTCCCGCGAGAGCTCTCTCTTTCCGTAGCGGAGAACGAACACCAAAAGCACGAGCAGGACGCCCCGCTGTATCAGAAAATGTGCGCGCGCAATCGGAGGGTACCCACCCTATTATTCAATCGCTTACACGGTGCCCCTTTTTTGCTCATGAAGATCTGCGGATGCGAAACGGAGACCACCACGACGCCGTATCTTCTCTTTGTCTCGGATCGTAGGATCTCTCGGGTGTCTTCCGGCCAGTGGTTTGTTGGACAATCCTGACCTAGGTGCTGCAAACCCCCTCGTCTCCTCAGATTTTGCGAAAGTGTTGCTGCGCAGCCAGCCGGGGCGCGTACATGAAACGAGCTCACCGCCGCCCACCTCTGAATTTGGATCCATCCAACCAGACGAGGCCAACGATCTTGCGCAGAGCAGTTGTGTGCGGTTTGTCTCCCTCCCTCCGAAATGGTGGAGATGAGCGGTAGCGGCCTTGCGGGAGTAAGGCGTCTCCACAACGAGCGTGAGAAAAGGCGGCGACCACGGACGGCAACGACGACACGCCCTCGAGCTCTCGATGCTGCAGGTGGATGTTCCCACGGCAATGCCCGTTCGACCTTCGTCGAAGCGCCCCCCCGCGCGCGCGCTCCAAGGGTATCCCCGAGGCAGCGACGACGGATAGAAGACACTCACGCCTACCTCTGTTCGAAGGTGGACCCGGTTATGGGCTCCCTCATCCTGGTGCTGATGGAGAGCAGACCCGAGGAAATTCGCAAGGCGGCGTTGGATCACCTCCTGTCGAAGAAGCGAATGAGAGAAGCTAGCGCAGATGATGCCCGTGTAGGGAGAGCTGCGGGAGGAAACCCGACGACGGCAGACCCTAAACAAGATGTTTGTGGCAGCGAGGTCGAAGAAGAGGAGGCTGCGCAGCGACGGCGACTCGCTCGGCATCAGGACCGCGTGTTCATGGCGCGAGAGGTTGGGCCGCTTGTCACCGAGCTCATCCGCCGGACGCTGCGTTCCATGCCGGCCGACGTGGAACTCTTCCTCATCGAACAACTCAAGGGGGTTCCCTCGGGCGGCGCATGCGATCAGGACATGAACGACAACAACCATCGCCTTGCTTTTCCTCCACCCGATGGGGCTGAACCCATCAGCAGGAGTAGCAAACAACACCATCTCGGCAACAGATCGGGCCAGCCGCACCGGCCAACGAGGCCGTCCACGGCAAGAAGCCGTCTGCAGCAGGCCCAGAGCTTGGACCTCCACGTTCAGCAGACATCCCCGCCGTTGTCGGGGAGGACCGAGGCGCGAAGGTCGCCGAGCCCTCCTCGAGGACCGCAGAACGGGGGCCTTCCCGACGAGGACGACCTCGGTTCTGGTGGTGTAGGCGGAGAATCCTCGCGACCGGGAGGTGGCGGTGGAGCCGTCGTGGACGGGGCGAAGGAGAGTCTGAACAAGCCATGGGACGTCGAGGTTAGTACACACCATACATATACAAGTACCAGCTGGGTGCATGAAACATAGCAGAGTCTGGGCACTAGAACCCACGACCATTAGCGATGGCTACATCGGCGATCCATTCTACCCGACCCAACATTTATCGCACCCACGGTGTAAGGGTGCAACTATCCAACTTACGGTGTTTAAAACACTCCCCTCCTCCACTCTCCTATTGTGCATGGTCTCTAGGTATCGTCGAAGTTGAATATCCCGCCATTTGAAGACCAGCCCCGGGAACCCTGCAAACCGAAGCAGAAGGTCGCTGTGATCTTGTTGCTCGGGCTGGATGGAGCGGGGAAGACTACGCTTCTAGGAACACTGCAGGGCGAGCAAGACCCACGGGTTCGTCCCAGTGTCGGGTTCAAGCCAGTGACAATGATGCTCAGCGACGAGCTCAAGGTATGCTCAATTGTTGAAGGGAGGGCGTCTGGCGCGTAAGCGGTTATCGCCATCCCACCAAACAATCCGGAAGATAGCACCCGTATCCCGTCAGAGTACTACCATCGCAAACTGCAGCACCACTCCTATTTCGCTGGCCGGAGGGCAGCGGTAGGGTCGCAGCGTGCTTCGACTGAGTGTCGCAAAACACCCCTCCTTCAGCGGTCCGTCCGCAAGGCGGCCTTGAATGGCCCGCCACTGTCAACCTCTCACGCAGAGAAGCGGACGAAAGCGAATAATGTGTCTCCCGTAATGTGTCTCCCGTATACACGCGAATCGGTTTTCCAGAGCGAATAACGTAGCAGCGCTGAGCAATTCTGCAACACACCCGCCGGTGCCGCCGTCGCCTCTACACCGAAGCCACCGAAAACACAATTGAGTCCGATTGAAAAAGACGAACATGTATTTTCCTTGCGATCGCCGCCGCAGGTAAAGTTCTACGATCTGGGCGGGGGCAAGAACATCCGGAGCATCTGGGACAAGTACTACCACGACGCGCACGGCCTGCTCTACGTCGTTGACGGGGCGGACGGGGATCGTTGGGGACAGAGCAAGGACATGTTCTTCGCCGCCACGAGCCACAAGTACCTCCAAGGAAAGGTGATCCGAGGTGCCGTCCCCCCTTCCCTCTCTCTGTTCGCTGCAATCGGTTTGGGAATAGTCTTTGTCCTCTCGAGGACGCGCGGTCAATGGTCTAACCGCTAAGGCAAGCAAAACGTGAGTACGCTCCCCCGCCCCCTCCCCTTCCTCCTCCTTCTCCTGCTGATGTTTGTGCTTCGTGTCCCTTTCCTCGCGTGCCTAGCCTTTGGCTGTCATCCTGAACAAGGAGGACGCCGGGCTGCAGATCAGGGAGGAGAAGGCCGCCGCCGACCTCGGATTGAGCAGTAGAAGAGACGCAAAGGTGTGTAGGCTATGTCTTCTGTACTACTGTAAGAGCTGTCATGTTTTCCAACAGGAAGTAGCATTAGCAACACCGGCTAGTGAGGGGATGATGCCACCGTGCTAGCCGATACTTCCCGAAGTCGCCCTCTCTTAGACTACCCCGTAGATTCGAGCAACTGTTAGTGTCCAATGCTTCTCTTTGGTTTGAACATGGCAGGTCTTTCGCTCGATCTCTGTTTCGTGTATCTCAGCTCCGTTTACCATGGAATAGGCGAGGCTGCGACACCGAGAACCGTTTCTCCACTGGCTGGGCTTCAGCAGCAACAGTAGTAGCATGAATGGGGTGGAAGGACGCGGGACTGAGCAGTTTCAATGTCTAGACAGCAACAGCAACATGAACCAGGGGAGACGCGACGGTGCGGAGTAAGGAAGCGCGCACATCCAACACGCGTACATGGTTCCATCTCTTGCCGGCTCTCACGCCGGAAGCTTTTGTTCGTTGTTACGTCAAGGAGCAAGTAAAAAAAGAATCAGTCCCCGTAAACCCGCTGTTTTCTTAGGTGTGCCACTGCTCGGTAAACGCGTCGAAGGCCGAGGGAGGAGTGCCTGACGAGCGGTTGGAAGGGGCGGTGGAGTGGCTTCTGGAGACCATCAATGTACGAAGACGAAAAAATTACATACCTTTTCGGTGGTGGTTGCGGTGTTGTTGGGCGCACATTCTAGACGACACCCGGCGTTGTTGGTCGTTCTTGGGTGTGAAGGAGCGTCTACTTACGCGTCGCTATTTCTCGCCCTCCGTGGGAAGCACATCTTTGATGTGCGCTGGCGTGGGCGTTTTCAAGCGCAAGAGTACGATCACCACGTACGAGTGGCATGCAAAATCCCAAGTCGGCCACCTGTGGTCTCATTCTTCTCCGTGAAGTTTACCCGGAAAGAATATATGCCGATTCTAATCGGTAGGTCTAGAATCTCGGTCGTAATATGTCATCGAAGTACTTGCCTGGGCTCTCCATCTTTGTGCCGCCCACCCTTCTGTCCTACGCGCTTGGTGCATGCCGTGGACCATTCCCGTCGATCTCACGAAACGTAAACCGGTGCCCGTGTGCCAAAACGGTTATCATCTGGTGTTGGGAGTGGGGCAAGCTCCCTTTTCTGGTGTCCAACGGTCTGGTCTGCGCTCTTTTTTCTGTTTGCTGCGTTGCACTTCTAGTCGGTGGTCGCCTTTGTAGTCGTCGCCGTCGTCGCCGCCGCCGGGTACCCTTGACGCCGCCCTTCTTGTCGTTGTTCGCCTCGTGTAGGAGAGTTTCCCTGCGCTAAACGAGCGCGTTCAGCACGACCTCCAGGACATGGAGAGGGAGTTCCAGTTGGAGAAGGAGAGGAAACAGCTTCAAGTGATGCGGGGCTTGCTGCGCAAGGCTTTCCCGCAGGTTGAGGTGAGACACCGACGGCATCCCCCACCAATTGTTACTACTGTCCGACAGTACATATGTACATACTTGACGATGCATTGCCGACGAATGGATTGTCGTCAGACTTGTCTTTGTTGCGAGACGTCGAATGTGGCACGCCTCATGATCCAAGATGATCAACGAACACCTTCACGTGTAACCAGATGCTGCAGAAGGGCTGGCACTTTGGGCTACACGAGAGGACGATGTGGTGTTGTCATGAGTGGTTGGACGGTAGCACCAACTCCAATCGAAAGGGTCCGACTAAGGGTGGCTTGCTAGGGGCTCTGCGGCTCACAACCCTCGACGGCAAGACAGGCGTTAGGGCTTGGGTCTTTTAATTGTTTTTTCCGTAGGCTTTTGCGTCGTCCCGAAGACGGTAGTCTAGAACCGCTCTCTTCGTTCTAATTGCAAGCCCACAAAACGGCACATGCTCCTGCTTGGAGGGAACCCGAAATCCTCCTGTGCTGATTGGTCCGAAACCACAACGGCACCATGGAGAAGAGGGGTACAAGGATGATAGGCCCAGGTATGAATGTGCTCCCATTTGTATGTGCTGTGTGTCGGTTCTCCATCACACACAAACTTTTGTCCTTGTTCTTTGCTTGCAATCCTAGGGGGGAGAGAAAGAAGATTGTTTCGACGAGAGCGAAGGATTGGAGTTTCTGACGAGCGAGGTGGGGTTGGAGCGGGGAACGCTGGGCGCGGAAGGAGCGGAAATCGCCTCCCTCGTGGGGTACCAGAAGGTTGGTGTGAGACACATTCTCAGTGCTTCGAAGCGATTCGGACTTGGTCGACGACAAAAACCGCGTACCAGTGGTACTCCCATCCACCCAAACGAAACACCGTCGACAGATCACACACGTGCGTTGTTGGCATCCAACTCTGAAGTCATCCGTACCCTCACGCTGTCGCATCCAGAAATCTTAAATGTGTGGCTTTGCCCCTCCCCGGCCTTCTCCAGTCACATGACCAACGCTCCCCCCGCCCACCGATTCGCTTTTGTTACAGTTGGCCCTACAAATGGTCGGCAACATGAAGAGCCCGATTTCGAGAAAGAACCGAGCTTGGAGCTGGGGGGAAATCCGTCAGCTGATCGTTGACCTTCGACGGGAAGTAGGCATCGAACCGTAAAGAAGTTATTTCTTGCTTCTCGGCTCGAGTAGTGAACGGACAGAAGCATCATTTGATAAGCAAGATCAAGCACTCAGGCTTTCCGTATACATCAAGCAGAGAGAGGGATGGCCAGCTGCTGCGCGACGCACATATTGATCATGTTCCAACCCACGACATTTCTGTGTTTACCCCAGCCGTTCGCTGAGCCTCCACACTGGTATGTATACGCGCAAGGGGCTCAGGTACAACGGCAGGGAGAACCAATACATTGGGACGACTTGAGCGTACTCTTGATTGGCATGTAAACGCCCATAAGAGCGGCGCGTTTTCGTCCAAGAGCAGCAACAACTGCAACCCAGGTATCTGCGGAAGAGATTGTGCTGTGTTTTTGTTCGAAAAATACAAAAAACAACGATCCAGGTAGTCGGCTCACGCAAGGGTCGAGAATACGGGCGGCAATAGCCAGCTGCGCCAGGCCGCCGCCGGTAGTTTTACGGCTACAAATCCCGAGAAGGCGCCAGCGCTCCTCCGTCCCCTGGTACACTTTGGCCGACGTTTGCGAAATCGAAGCAACACAACTGTGCCCCACCAACGACTGACTCAAGTTGGCAAGTCTTGCAGCGGCATCCATTCTACTTGGTGCGAGCGAGGTTGATCGACCAACCATATGGTCCGGCGAACGAAATGCGGATTCTGTTTCCATTCTTATTCACTCATGGACGTTCCGATCCAGCCAAAACATAACAGCAAAAACCCACAAAAAATATGTGGTCATGCAAACGCATGCCACCACTCCCCACTCCTCCAAAAAAACAACAAACGTTGTACCAGCGCGCAGCAGACTGACGACACAAACCACAAGCTTGGAGGCACTCGGTCGGACGGACCAGACACAGCCGAACCCGGAAAGGCAAGTAGCAGGGGGTCGCTTTCGTGCACGTAGTCTTGACAAACATTTATGTTCCTCCAAACAAACAAACAAACACAACACCCACCCACACATACGATAGACACAGAATAAAAATCTGCAAGTAGTAAATATACCGATACAGCCCCAGCACCGACGTTGTAAAAGCCCTTGTCAAATCCAACCGGCACCCCACAAAAACTCTTGACATATGTCCACACCATGCTAAAACTCCCCCCCAGCATCTTCTAGACCCATCGTCAAGAAAAACACTTTCTCAAGGGCTCTTCGAACGCACGCCCGCGGCTATCGCATCGCGGCATCGCCTTGGCTACCGCTCCCATCAACACCAGCGCCGCCAGCCTCACCCTGCCGCTGCTTCGCCTTTTTCTTGCGATAATATCTCAGCAGCTCCTGGGCGAAGCCAAAGATGAGGGGGAACGCCAGCGGCGCCAGGAACGGAAAGTACACCGCCATCAGGTGGTCCTGCGGGAAGTAAAGCTGCGGCACCATGGTCGGGTCGAAGTACGCCGCCTCCGACCTGCGGAGCGCCTCCCTCGCCCAGTGCATCGCCTCCGCGCCCGCCCACTCGTCGTTCCGAACAGAAGAAGCAACCGACTCGGATCCCCCGCAACCAGTTGCTGTTGTTGCCGTTGCTGTTGCCGCCGCCGCCGTCATGGCGTCTGACACCGAGGCGTCCGACTTGACGAGCGCCGCGATGGCCGCGGACACATCCTCCGCGATTTTCTCGCTGACCTCCATCTCCGGCTGCGAATCCACCAGCTCCGCTAGGGACCGGAGGGTCTCCGCCGCCGCCGCACGGTTTCTCGCCATCCCGGCGCGAAGCAAGGCGTCGACCTCCCAGTCCGTGACCCCGTCGGTCGGAGACGGCAGGAAAGTCAAAGGAAGCTCGGTGTATTTCTCTCGGGACAACGACTCCGCCGGGCAACCGCCGCACAGCCCTCTCTCGCTGCTACCGCTCGCCCCTGCCGGCTGCGGTAGCCAGGGCCAGGGCACCTCGGAAGGCCGATCGGACGGCCTGGGGAGCCCGATGATCCGACGGAGCTGAGACACGTGGGCGCCGAACGCCCGGCGGAGCCGGTCCGGCTCTAGGACGTCGATGGCGCCGCCATCCTCGCCCGCGTTACTATTAACCACCGAGACCCCGCCGAAGCCCGGGACTTCGTAGGCCTCTGCAAACGGCCGGTTCCGACCGCCGGCCCCAACCCACTCCTCCATGAAAACCAGCGGCGAGGTTGCCGGCGAAGGGCAGAACATCATGAAGCTCACGGGGACCTGGCTGTGCGGCGAGCTCGTCGTCGACACGGCGGCGGTGGCGGTGGCCATCTCGCCGCCATCTGCGGCCGCCGTGCGGCCTCCGTCGTCGTCTGGCCCCCACCCCGCCGCGAGGTCGAGGGTCGAGAAGTCGTTCGTGCCCAAGAAGCCCTCGAGGTCTCTGGGAGAATAGTACCAGCGGCTCCTGGCGTTATACAGTCGCGGGGGTCCCGCGGACAGGCGAGCGTACTGGACCTCTTGGGACTGGTGTGCGGAGGAGAGATAAGCGTAGGGGTTGGGGTGTAAAACAATCAGCCAGGAGTAGGTTCAGGTTCTGTACCCCGGGACGCTGTGACGGTTGTGCTCGTGACACAGAGGTCCACACTTCTAAAGTAGTGCCGCTTCAAGTTCACCTCATAGAGGGGGGCACGATGGCGTTGCAGTACAGCAGTTCCGTTCAACGTAACTGCGTCGCGCCTAACGTTGTCGGTCGAATGCATTCGCCGAAAGAGCAAACTTACGCATTTTTCTTCGGGTTCGGCACGCAGTTCCCTCCTCCGGCCAACAATACTGCTGCTGCGAAACGCCGCACGACCGGTAAATCTAGCGCGCACCCAGTCGCCCACATTGTAGCATTAACCATTCAACCCCACACACCTGCACAGCGAAGCTCGCCACCGGACTCAGCTTCCGGAGCATCGGCCTCAGGTATCTCCTCGAGGCTCCCGCGAAGTCCCACGCGCACCTCCGGAGGGCGGGGTCCTCGCTAAGCAGCGAAAAGTCGAGCCGGTACGCCTGTCCCTGGCGCACGTGCACGTCGCCAGCCTTGACCGACGACCGCAGCACGTGGGCCGCGATCGTTCCCGCGAGGGCCTGGAGGACGGCCAAGGCCGCCGCCGAAGCCAGGCCTACCGCATCGTGCGATGAATCGCGGCTGCTCTTTCCTTCAACTGCCGCTGCTCCGCTGCTGTTGCCGCCGCCGCCGCCGCCGCCACCCGCCGCGCAAGAAGCGGAGCACGCGCAACCTAGCCCGAGGTAGCCGTGTCTGTGCTTGCCCATGGTGAAGATCGGCAGTTCCCCCGCGTCTCCGGCCCCGGGACACGCGATGAAGAACGTGTATCGCGGCGATGAGTTGGCGGCGGCGACGGCGGTGCTGCTGCTTCTGCTGCCGCCTCCTGCGGAAGAAGGCTCTCCTCCTGCCGTGCTGCCGAGCTCTGTCGCGGGCAAGACGTGCGTTCGATGGAGCCAATCGTCGAGGGCCGTCGCCGGCCCGTCTCCGCCGTCGCCGGCCAACGACGGGGGCGCGGCGGCGTCCCCGTGGATGACGCGGAGGTTCACCTCTCGAATGACGAACAACGGCACTGCTGCTGCTGTTGATGCTGCTGTAGAAGTGACACCTTCTCCTTCAAGACTCGGCTCCGCCGCCGCCGCCGCTTGTTCTGTTGCCGCCGCTTGTTCGGTTGCCGCCGCTGAGGCTTCCTTCCCCGCGGCCCGAAATGCGTTGCGCGCGAGGGACGGGTTCACCTGCATCGCGTCCAGCGCCGCTGCGCAGGAAGGGCAGTCCCCGTCGCGTGGACTCCGCAGGAGGACCACGTCGATGTCCACTGGAGGGGGAAGCGGCCCCCTGCTTTCAGGAGTTGGCAACAGCGAAGAAGAAGCAGCCGACGCCGCCGCCGGCGGTTGTTGTTGTCCACGATGATACCAGTGCGGATTTGCCATGTTCTTCAGAGGCAGCGGGGCGCGCTTGACGACTCCCAGCCGCCATGCCACCAGGACGCTTATCAACGAGAAGACGAGGAAGAATAGGTGGGCTGCAAGCCTGGTGCCAGCCATGCCAGCAACAAGTAGCTGCTGCGTCGGCCTGTGTCCCGCCTAGCCGCTGGCCAAGGGCAAACCAAAAGAGGCATCGCAGACATCATCGGGGTACCCAACATCATTATTTCGACGTGCGGTGCCCCTCGGGAGTGATCCGTGGAACGGTTCACACACAGAACTTACGGTTCAGTCAGGGCCTATTATCATTAGATGTCTCTCTCCCCTCTTTGGCTGAGACAGCGTCCAGTTCTTGCTCCAGGTCTTGCTCCGAATGGCGACTCTACCTCCGCTCCCTGAAGGGTGGGAGGAGAGGAGAGACGAGCAGGTGTGGTGCGCATCCTGATCGGGTTGTTGTCCGTTCAGAAAAAATATGTTCTGCGGAGCATTTGCTCTCTCTAGACTATACCATGTAACTACAACTGCTCTACTCACCACACCGACATCTTCAAGGTATAAGCCCCCCACCGCCTGTCTGACGCCGCCTGTGCCCACACATGCGCAACCCTCTCTTCTGCTACCCCCGCGAAGGGACACACCTACTACGTGGACCACAACACGAGGCGCTCGTCATGGCGCGACCCCCGCCTGGTTCAAACCGGAGGTCCACCACCTCCAGCTGCTACTGCTGCTGCTGGCGTACCGGCACCGCCAACCGTGGCACCGACAAACAACGGCGGCGGCGGCAGCAAGAGTTTCTTCAACCGCTCCAGTGCCAACCGCAAGGTACCTACTATTACCTGCTGTTCGGATTATTGACTACCGCAAACTCTTTTGCAGCAGCAGCGCTGCCGTTGTACGTTCGTGAACGGGCGGGGAAGCTGATTTTCATTCCATTCATCACCACCGCTCTCGGTAGAAGCTTTCGCACCGCGTGTTGCTACCGGCGGGGATTTTTCTCGGGTAAAAACGGGAAAATCTGTCCCGGGAAATGTCTAAACACACACACCTCCTCGTCGATACCGTCACACAGCAGCCTACGGTGGGAATGTCGGAGTCGACGTCTAGTCTGGAGCCTCGGAAGCAGAACGGTGCCGCCGCTGGACCGGACTCCCCACGTCGCCGACGTAGCATGCCGGTGCCGAGGTCGGGCGGCGGCGGCGGCGGCGGGGGCGGCGGCGGCAAGGGCGGTGCGGGACCGGTGGACAAGTCGAGGGAGGATATTGCATTTTCTCCACACTTGATCCCGGACGATGATCGCTCCCAGGTGTGCAAATGACAACCCGTTCGGTCCGTGTTTGCGTTTTGTTACACCATGTCGGGGTGTGCGAAACACATACTGGTTACAACATACCAGTTGTTGCCGCAGCTAGGGCAAGTCCTGACGAGCGGACAACATGTTTTGAACCAACTACAGCAGTACACCAGGACACCCTGGTGTGGACACTTGCCTTCGGAGGGGGGGGGGGGGGGGGGGGGGGGGGGGGGAA